CAACTCCTGGCTCAAGCAATCTCCTGCTTTAGCCTCTTAAGTAGCTGGGACTACAGGCGTGCACCACCACACTAGCTAATTTTTCTATTTTTAGTAGAGACGGTGTCTCACTCTTGCTCATGCTGGTCTCAAACTCCTTGTTTTTTGAGACAGAGTCTCACTTTGTTGTCCAGGCTAGTGTGAGTGCATGCGCAGCCTGTTTACAGGCTAAAGTGCAGTGGTGTCATCATAGCTCACAGCAACCTCAAACTTCTAGGCTCAAGTGATCCTGGATCCTCCTGCCTCAGCCTCCCGAGTAGCTGGGACTACAGGCATGCGCCACCATGCCTGACTAATGTTTTGTGTATACATTTTTAGTTGGTCAATTAATTTCTTTCTATTTTTATAGTAGAGACAGGGTCTCGTTCTTGCTCAGGCTGGTTTCAAACTCCTGACCTCAAGCAATCCGGCTGCCACGGCCTCCCAGAGTGCTAGGATTACAGGTGTGAGCCACCATGCCAGCCTGCCTTTTATTTAGTTTTTAACCCCAGCACTTAGTCATAATGCCTGGCATACAGTAAGTAGAGGAAGAATAAGTGCCTCGAAGATTAAAACCAAAAATAAAAAAAGAAAATTAAAAGCTGTGAACTATCTTCAGCTATGTCAAGCTGAAGTCCTGCTTGACTGCTTTAAATCACATTAAACTTTCTCTTCCTGAACTGATATGAGTACTGATCCTAACTATGGTGAAACCTCAGCTAAACCAAACACAGGACTGTTCCTTTCTGAATATTTTTCCAGACAACTGAAGTTTATCCAATTAAGTGCAAAACATCTTCATTCTGTTCCAAATGGAGATTATTTTTAAAGGTATTATTAATTTCCTGTGAATTATATAGTGGAAACAACACAATTTGGAGTCATTAAGACTTAGCTAGCTCTACCTCTGGAGAATGGCTTTGGATAAACCACTTATTCCTATGGCTGAGTCTGTCATCTGTGAGTGGACATGTTACCTCTCTGCCTACCTCTCTGGATTGAGTGAGATAATATAGATGAAATGTTCTGTAAACTCAAATGTGTCTCACACATTTAAGATACCATCATTTAACTATTTTTTGCTTACTCAGAGGCAGCAATGTGAACTTTTTTTTTAATATTTTTTTTTTTTTTTTGAGTCAGAGTCTCACTGTGTTGCCTGGGCTAGAGTGCCATGGCATCAGGCTAGCTCACAGCAACCTCAAACTCCTGGGCTCAAGCAATCCTTCTGCCTCAGCCTCCCAAGGAGCTGGGACTACAGGCATATGCCACATGCCTGGCTAATTTTTTCTATATATTTTTAATTGGCCAATTAATTTATTTCTCTTTTTAGTAGAGACAGGGTCTCGCTCTTGCTCAGGCTGGTTTCAAACTCCTGACCTCGAGCGATCCACCCTGCCCACCTCTGCCTCCCAGAGTGCTAGGATTACAGGTGTGAGCCACCATGCCTGGCAATGTGAACTTAATCATCCAGGAAAATAGTAAGCCCAAAGCCTAGGACATATGTAGTTATTACTGTTTGCTCCTCCTCTACGTGGACTAAAAGACTGTCATTTTCAATTGTCTGCTTGTATTCCTAGTCTTCTCTTGTTATCTGTTTTAATTCTCCTTGTTAGCTTCTTGCTTTTCTTTTCTTTTTTTTTTCAGTGTTCTTGCCTTTAAAAACTCCTGTTTCCTATTTTAATTTGCTGCTAATTATATGCTATAGGTTCAGAGATTACTAGAAATGGGAATAGATTACGAGATAATAAAAGAGAGACTTCCCCATGAGTGAAGTAAATGAACATTATTACGTGTGACTGCTATGTTGCTACCATTTTCCTCTTATCTCCTGGTTCCTGATTCTTAGAGCTGTTTTTTCTTTTCTTTCTTTCATTTTTCTTTTTTTAGACACTCTAGCTCTGTTTACAGGCTAAAGTGCAGTGGTGTCATCATAGCTCACAGCAACCTCAAACTTCTAGGCTCAAGTGATCCTGGATCCTCCTGCCTCAGCCTCCTGAGTAGCTGGGACTACAGGCATGCATCACCATGCCCGAGTAATTTTCCTATTTTTTGTAGAGACAGGGTTTTGTTATGTTGCTCAGTCGGGTCTGAACTCCTGGCATCAAGCAATCCTACTGCCCCAATCTCCCAAAGTGCTGGGATTATAGGCATGAGCCATTGAGCTCAGCCTTGGATATGTTTTGAATTTATTCTTTTGGCATTTACTTATTTATTTTATTTATTTTTGAGATTGAGTCTCACTTTGTTACCTGAGCTAGAGTGTAGTGGCGTCATCATAGCTCATTCCAACCTCAAACTCCTGAGCTCAAGCGATCCTCCTGCCTCAGCCTCCCAAGGAGCTGGGACTATAGGTGTGTGCCACCATGCCCAGCTATGTTTTTCTATTTTTAGTAGAGACAGGGTCTCACTCTTGAACTCCTGGTCTCAGGCTGGTCTTGAACTCCTGAGCTCAAGGGATCCTCCTGCCTTGGCCTCCCAGAATGTTAGGATTACAGTCTTGAGCCACTGTGCCTGGCCATCTTTCAGCAAATATTTATTGAGCACAGTATGTGCTTGGCACTGTGCAGAAACTAAAACATAACCTCTGCCCTCATGGAGCTTCCAGTCTAGTAGTAAGGCAGTTAATAATGTTGCAAGTTACAGTGAAGGGTGATTATTACAATAAGGTATGTGGTTTTATGGGACTACCTACCAGAGGGGTCTAATGGAATTAATGGGACAGGGAGGAGGATGGGAAGAGAGTTCTAGGCAGAGGGACAAGAAGTGGGAAGGCCTAGAGTGGAGAAAGAAGGGGAGGGTAGGAGGTGGGGGAGAAAAAGAGACATACCACCAAGTATTAGAGGAACTAAGAGAATTCCAACATGGCTAGAGCAGACTACAAGATGGGACAGACATGAATTGAAGCTGGAGAGGAAAGTAGACAGAGTTACTAGCAGAATTCTGGATTCAGAAGTTCTTACTATATTTGCATCTTCTTGCATTTTCATTCCCTTATTTTTATTTTCCAACTATACATTTCTTACAAAAAGGATTTTTACTTTTCCTGTGATTTTGGTAGTCCAACCTAGTCTTGTCCCCAAAGTGTGTGATCAGTGTATTGATAGAGCATGCAGAAGTAGACTGTTATCACATTCATTACGAGATTGATGTTATTACCTCATAACCTTTTCAGGTAATTATCAGAAAAAAATATAGGCTTGAGAATCACAAAAGGTCTTCATTCCACCATTTTCTGCCTTTGTAACTAAAAGACAGGTTATGTAACCTCTTCAAGCCTCAGCACAAAGGATATAGTGACATTTAATTCATGAGGGTATTAAATGAAGATTAAATGAGATATTCACATAACATCCAACAGAGTAAACTCAACAAATGCTAGCTCCCTTTTTTACTTCTCACTTCCCTCCCTTAAACTCTTAGTCCATTCTTTTCCATCTGCCCCCACACCTTACTCCATAACCATTCCCTCCCCTTTGCATTTTCTAAGCCTTCCTCTCTCCACTGGCTTCTTTCTCTCAGCCTACAAACATTCTCAACTAAAAGCTAAACATAGTCCCTCTCTCAATCCAGCTTTCCATCTCCCTAAGCTTTCTATTTCTCTTCAACCCTTTGACACCAAACTCCTTAAAAAAGTTATCAACATTTTCTAATCCAAGCTGTATGAAGGACCCTCAGCTCTGGCACCTGGGAGTGATGAAGAGAGATGTGGAACAGAAAGGAGCTGAGACCCAGCTACTATCTCCAAGGAAGAGAACCAATGGCTTTGGAGTCAGTGGTATGCTGTCTCCTTCTGAACCTCAACTTACTCTTTAACTTTCTACAACCAACCAACTTCCCAATCCTTCTCATTCTAGAACTTACTTTGTAAAATCACCAAATCCTTAGGTCTCTTATGGCTTCTCATCTTGTGATTAAGTAAACCATTGATCAATTCCTTTAAGTATGCCCTTTCCTCAGCTAAAAATTTACTGAAGCATCCAACACATTCCCACTGAGTTAATTATTTCACTCCCCTGATCACACACATTTAATGCTGCCCCACTGCCTATAGGAAAAGTCTGAACTCTTGAGCAACTTCTTTAAGGCTTGCCACCACGATCTAGTCTTTTCCCTTCAGTTATCTCTCTCTCTCTTTTTTTTTTTTTGAGACAGAGTCTCACTCTGTTGCCCATGCTAGAGTGCTGTCAGCCTAGCTCACAGCAACCTCAAACTCCTGGGCTCAAAGCAATCCTCCTGCCTCAGCCTCCTAGGTAGCTGGGACTATAGGCATGCGCCACCATGCCTGGCTAATTTTTTCCATATTTTTAGTTGTCCATCTAATTTCTATTTTTTAGTAGAGATGGGGTCTTGCTCTTGCTCAGGCTGGTCTTGAACTCCTGAGCTCAAATGATCTGCCCATCTTGGCCTCCCAGAGTGCTAGGATTACAGGCATGAGCCACCACGCCCGACCTTTTTCCTTCAGTTATCTCTTAAACAGCCTGTGCTCCAGACGTATAAAATAAATCACTACTTCTTGAGAATGCCCTGTATTGTGTTTATTCCTGCCCCTATCACCTGGGAAGCATTTCTTTCCCATCTCTGGCTCTTAAATAATTGAATCCATCCTTCCAAGCCTACCTCCTCGGCCCTATCAGAATTAATCTAAGCTTCTTTACTCTCATGATTCTTTAAACCTCTATTTAAGTAACGGCATTGTTTCACTTGCATTACAGCTATCTATACTTAAGTCTTCCTCTCTGACCAGGTTGTTAAGATTTTTTTTTTTTTTTTTTTTTTGAGACAGTGTTGCACTCTGTTGCTCAGGCTTGAGTACAATGCAGCTAGTTCAATGCAGCTTCAAACTCCTGGGCTCAAGTGATCCTCTTGCCTAAGCCTCCTGAGTAGCTGGGACTACAGGGTGCACCTTCACACCTGGCTAATTTTTCTATTTTTTTGTAGAGACAGGATCTTGCTCTTGCTCAGGCTGGTCCTGGCCTCAAGTGATACGCCTGCCTTCGCCTCCCAAAGTGCTGGGATTACAGGTGTGAGCCACTGTGCTCTGCCTGTAAGCTTCTTGGTGGTAAATATTTTCGCCTCATTCAACAATTGTGATTTCCCTCTCCTTTTTCTATCACTTTAGCGGCTACAAACTCAGTAAGCTTGTTCCTCTAGTGGTTCAGTGCTGTGCTGACACCTGCTGGTCACATGAGGTTCAGCAGCCCTGGCCCCACTACCTTCCTCCCTCTGGTATTAAGAGGGGGGATAGTCTGTGCCCCTACCTGCCAGGCACTGGAAGAATATGCTGTGGTAACATTGCCCCCCAGCACCACCCTTCAATTTTCTGAACTTTCCCTCCTGACCCCCACCCTAGCAGTTTGGACTCTACATTCTATCCAGTGCTGTAGAAATATAAGGACAGGATCTCAAGGAACTGGGCAGCAAGTAAAGAAAGGAGATAATTTGAGAGCAAGGATGTGCAAAACTCTCCTCCCCACCTCAAGAATCAAGACTTTCCCCGCAAATTCTGTTTTTTTGGTTTTTTTTTTTACTTTTGTCAAGACTTTTTCTAGGTTGCTCTTGGGCCATAGGCCTTCTTAGTGACAGTGGTGATGAACCGGAGGTTGAGCAGAGTAGGAAGGCGGGGCTCAAGGGGTGGGGCCAAGCCAAAGGGCCTTTCACTTGGGAGCTTCTCCATTCTGTCACCTCTCCGGGAACATCCAAGGCAAGACTGGCACCCAGCACAGCAGGTGAGGGACCAGCAATGACAGAAGGGGAAGGGTAGACTTCAGGGGTGATGGTGGCAGAAGGGTCCCTAGCTCATTCAGCCTTAGCTTGCCATATTGGGAAACTGTCACTTGTAGAATTCTTGAGCCCCCTGTAGAGCTTAGTTTTCCCTTGGGAGGCAAGGCAGCCTCTAAAAGAAAGACCTGGTTTGGGAAGGGAGTGGGGGGCAGGGCTGAGATATGGGGATGGATCCGGGTGTGTGACAGAGAAATGCCAGGAAATCTCAGGAGACATGGAGATCCACTGGTAAGGGCCAGAGGGAAAGCATGGCCAGGCCGGAGGATCACAGTGAGGACCCAGACAAGAAAAAAAGGGAGACTGAAACAGGGAGAGGGAGAGGAGTGGACCAAATATGAGATGGTAACGGAGGCAATGGAGAGCTGGGTAAAAGGAAGGCCAAGGAGGAAGGAAGGCTCACATGGAGCAATCTCCTCTTCCGGCTGGGGAGCATGGCCCAGAAAGCCCCAGGGCAAGCTGGGAGCAAAACAAAGTTCTAGGCTCCCACTGGAATGATTTGGCTGGGCAAGAAACCCCCATGGTTACCCGTCTCCCCTGCCTCTTCAGACTCCCATTTTGGTTTGGGGGAGAGGATAAGGCTGCTCCTCACTGCGGTCACAGCCACATCCTGCGGAGCAGGGGAGGGGGAAGTAAGAAGCAAAACAACCAGAAGAACCACAGGCGAACACCATGGGGAGAGAACCCTGGACATGTGCAGCTGATATGCCACCAGAAGGGCCCTCCGTTCAAACAGCAGAAGACTGTAGACCTTTAGTGTTGCCTACCCTGCTTGAGGTGCTTGTTTCTCAGGCTTCCTCAGTGCGCTTCAGCCTCACTGAGCGCATTCCAAGGAAGGAGATTTCTTTGGATTATGTGTTTTTAAGCCCATTTTAATCAATTACTAGTGACTTGGGCCAAATTGCTTAATTTCTCTTAGCTTCAGTTTTCTCACACAAAATGAGGATACCTACCTTTCAGAGGGTTGAGAAAACCAAGACGATTCACATACAGCACTTGGCACATAGTAGGTCTCCAGTAAATGTTAATTATTATTCTCATTAAGACTCTTGGGACTCCCATGTTTCTTCATTCTTTAAAGGCAATACGGCACACTAGCTGACAGGAACTTTTGGGTCAGAAAAATAGTTGCGTTTGATCTCAGGTATATTATTTAACATAAGCCTCAGTTTGCACACTGTAAAATAAGGAGAGCAATACCTATACCTCATAGATGTATGGTACATAGTCAGTGTTCACAAATGGTAGCTGTAAGAATTATCTGCCAGGTAAGCCCTACCTTCTCCATTGCAGCAGCAATAGTCTGCTTCCCCTTGAGACTGAGCTCACGGTAGGCCAGCCTCCTGTGTGCTCACATTCCTCCAGCCAGAGCCATCACTGTCCTCCTAGGCTGTTTTGGAGATCAAGATTTCCTACAGCACTAAAGGGAAAAAGCAGGAACAGGGAACGAGGAAGCCCCATGGGAAAGAGATGACAAACAAAGATGATGAGATAGAAACCAAAGAAGCAACAGAAAGGGGAAAAGCCGTTTCTTTCTTTCTAAGGAAGCTTGTGGCCTTTCTTCTTCTAGTGACTGACCACATACCCGAGTTCCCAGGAACCATGGAGTCCTTCAGCTCAAAGAGTCTGGCACTGCAAGCAGAGAAGAAGCTACTGAGTAAGATGGCAGGTCGGTCTGTGGCTCATCTCTTCATTGATGAGACAAGCAGTGAGGTGCTAGATGAGCTCTACCGTGTATCTAAGGAGTACACGCACAGCAGGCCCCAGGCCCAGCGGGTTATCAAGGACCTGATCAAGGTGGCTGTCAAGGTGGCTGTGCTCCACCGCAGCGGCTGCTTCAGCCCCAGTGAGCTGGCCCTGGCTACCCACTTTCGAGACAAGCTGCGGCAGGGAGCCATGACGGCACTTAGCTTTGGCGAGGTGGACTTCACCTTCGAGGCTGCTGTTCTGGCGGGCAAACTGACCGAGTGCCGGGATGTGCTGCTGAAGTTAGTGGAGCACCACCTCACACCCAAGTCACACGGTCGCATCCGCCACGTGTTTGATCATTTTTCTGACCCAGACCTGCTCACGGCCCTCTATGGGCCTGACTTCACTCAGCACCGTGGCAAGATTTGTGATGGGCTCAGGAAGCTGCTGGATGAAGGGAAGCTCTGAGAGCCCCAAATCTAGCACATTTCACCTTGGCAAAATGGCTGACTGAGAAACAACAGACAATGGGCTTCCTAACCCTGCTCATCTGCACTAACGCTTTTCAATCCTCAGGCTTCATTCTTTCCCAAGAGCACTTTGACTCTGAGACCACCCCACCCCCAAACAGCTGGTGGAGAAGGAGCAATGCTGAGGGGTGAGGCCCCTCTCCCACTGTAGCCCCAGGACAGGAAACAGAGCTGCATGAAAAAGACGAAGTGATACTTGGATCTCCATTTCTCCCATAAGGGACTTCTGAAACAGGGAAAGCCCCTCCTCTATGAACCCACGGGAGGGGGCACAACCTATATAACCCCTCCAGGGACACTAAAGACAGAAGGGGGTAAGGTGGCCCTTAGAGACAGAGCTTGGACAGATACCAGAGGCTGTGTTTCACAGTGCAGAAAGAAGGGGTGAGGGCAAGGGAGATTCTCTCAGGGGAAATAAAACTACTAAAACATGCACAGGGCTCAATGTTTAATCTCTCCAGCTTCTTATACCTTACGATCATCACAGAGGAAAGGAGGTATATAAAAACACCATCCATCTCACCTCTCACCACCTCCTACAGAAGACTGAGGCATATTTCCAGTATCATTAAGGTTCTTTGCCTACTTCTGTTTAAGAAACAAAAAAAAACCTGTACCACATATCAGTGCTACAAATTGCAAATAAATACACAGTGAGGAGCAAGGCATAGACAGACAGGCTCTGGTGGGGAGAGAGTATAACAAAGAGATTTCCTCAACTGTCCTCTTCAAACTGCAGGGAAATTCTTCCTTCCCTTAGCCCCACCACAGGCTGAGCAGAGGAACAGGTTAGAAGGGTGAATTGTTGGAAAGGAGAGTTCAGGTCCCTACAAGGCTACTTCTCTCAGAGCAAGAGTTGTGGAAAAGTCAAAGGGAATTGGTTAGTCAAGACTGAGCCCAAATCCTTTACTTCGAGATTGAGGAAAAGGCCTGGCACAGTCTGCCATTCTCTGCGGATGGGGCTAGATCACTGATTGCTGCTGAGTAACATGTGTGGCTGAGGAGGTGGGAAGGTGAGGAACCAGTAGTCACTGGCTCACTGTTCCCGGGTTCCCCTCATCCCAGGGCTATCGACACCCCATTTTTCAGCTAAGAGTGGGAAGGAATAGGACACAGCAAATAAATATTAGTTCAATATAGCACCAAATAAATTAGATAACATAGTTGGAGATGAAGAGGAAGTTAAGGGGGAGTCTGTGCTTCCCTGCTCTAAAGCCAGGGAATGGTGAAAGGGGTAGGAAAGGCAGCAGGGATGTAAAAAGAGACTTTTGAATCTAAAGGACAACTCTAGATTCAGTCCAGAATTAGGAAGGGGTCTAGTGCCCATCCTCTACTCTTGCCCATAAAGCTCCCTCAGGCCAAGGAATTCCTGGCGGAGAAGGAGGCTGGGGAAGATGGCTGGAGTGGTGAGAGGCGGGCTGGGAAGCCATGTCCTTGAGCCTCACCTCGGGCTCCTCTCCCCCTCAAGTTGTTCCTTCAACATCTTGCTTCTCTCAATCAGTTCTGGGGACATCAGAGTTTGAAGATTTCATCCTCCTGGTCCCGTAGTGTCCGGGTCCGAGAAGTACGTGTCAATGGCACAGGACCTAGGACTGCTCGTTGCTGCATCCGAGGGGAGCTCAGGTGGTGACCTGCATCCTCCCCAGGTACCCTGCAGGTGAGGAAAGGAGAGAAAGAGTGACAGATCAAAGGAAGAACCTGAGAATGGGCCAAGTGAAGAGGTACATGGGAAGCTGTCTTCCTATCCTAACATGAGCTGGTTGCTCTAAGATAATCTGAATCCCCTCAGGATAAATCCTAACCCTAATGCTCCTTCAAGGATGATTAGACATTAAAAACAGTCAATGTTTTTACTCCAAAAAGAATACAGAACCCAGTTTCCCGCTGCTTCTGCCCATTCCAGTATCCATTGGCTCTGCTCATCGTCTTGGGGCCACCTGGGAGGAAGGTATCACCTTGCGTCTGCTGGCACTATGCTGACTTACTTGTGTCTGTGGTTAGTAAGACTGGAGGGACGGAGGAGTCTATGGAGGGATGTATAATGAACCGTTCAAGACTCACCCGCTTTCCCCTTTTTTCAGCTTCTGAGCAGCAGCCTTCTTTGACAGGCTGATCTGTGAGTCAAGCTTCTTAAGGAAATCAGATGCAGAGAGGTCATGGATGGGTGTGGGGGGTTCTTGGCCAGGTGCAGGGAGGACTTCACCATTGGCACGTCCTGAAACTATCTCTTGTTTCTTTCTCTCAGCTGAGTGTGGCTGAACTTCATCCTTACTTGGGCGTCCCTCTTCCTCTCCATCTTTCTCTTCCTCAGAATCCAAACCATTGAACAAGTCTCTGGGCTCTGTCAGGATGGGGATGTAGAGGGTTTTCTTCAGGAAGATGGAGTCATTAGTATAAAGACGGTTTGCACGCTTAATCTGTTCCATCTTTAAAAAAAAGTTACCAAAATTAATGACAGTAATAATGATCAATCTTACATTGCAGCTTGAGCTTTTTAAAGTGATTGTACAGAGAGTTATTTAACCCCGTAACAATCAAGCTAAAGAACAGAGGGCTGATAGTTCCTGTTTTATAGATCAGTGGTTTTCATACTTTTTGATCTTAGGGCCCTTTTAAAAATCACTGTGGTAAAAAGCCTTTATTTATTGAAAAGCTATCAGTATTTAAGGTATTATCAAAGCTGAGAAATTTTTTTAAATGTATTTAAAAATAATATATTACATGTTAACATACATATTTTAGTGAAAAATAACTATATTTTTCAAAACAAAAAAAATATAGAGAAGCATTGTTTTACATTTTTGCAATTCACTTTAATGTCCAATTTAACAGAAGACAACAGGATTGTTATATCTGCCTCTACATTCAATCTGTTGCAATATCACACATCATGCAGCTTCTGGAAAACACTGTATACTCATGAGAAAATGAGAATGAAAAAGGCAAATAAAATCTTATTATTGTTACTGTGAAAACAGTTAGACGTTGTGGGCCCCTCCCTGAAGAGTCTCATGGACCCCTATGGGTCCCTGGACCTCACTTTGAGAACCATTGTCAAAGATCAAGGAACTGGGCTAAGTGCAGTGGCTCACATCTGTAATCCTAGCATTTTGGGAGGCTGAGGTGGGAGGCTAGCTTGAGGCCAGGAGTTTGAGACCAGCCTGAGCAAGAGTGAGACCCCATCTCTACAAAAAATAGAAAAATCACCCAGGCATGGTGGTGAGTGCCTTGTAGTCCCAGCTACTCTGGAGGATCGCTTGAGGTCAGGAGTTTCAGGTTGCAGTGAGCTAGGATGATGCCACTGCACTCTAGCCCTGGGGACAGAGTGAGATCTTATCTCAAAAAAAAAAAAAAAAAAAATCAAGGAACTGAGAGGCTCGGAGAGGTTAAGCTACTTGCTGAAGGTTATCTAGCAAGTTAATGCTAGAACTAGGATTCTCAACCTTTTTACTCCTTGTGGAAATGCTTTAAACACTATAATAGTAACAATTTTGGCCAGGCTAGTGGTTAATGCCTGTAATCCCACCATTTGGGGAGGCTGAGATGAGAGGATTGCTTGAGACCAGGAGTTCGAGACCAGCCTGGGCAACATAGCAAGTCCCCATCTCTACAAAAAATTTCACTAATCAAATATTTATTTTGTACCTATTTACCTATTTATTCATTACTGAATATAGTGACTGGCATCATCATCTATCTACCAGGGCTTTCAAGGTAGAAATATCAATGTTATCCTTAACTCATACTTTCCTTTCATCACCCATACCAACTGATCAATAAAAATGCTTCAAAAATCTTTCACATCTGGTCTCACCTTCATGCTACTGCAATTGGCTTAGAAGAGATCCTTACTATTTCTCATCTGGGTTACTGCAACAGTTTAACGGGTCTTCCTCTCGCCATTTCTACTCATTCTCCTCTTGGCATCTATCTTTCTAAAAACAATAAATTGGATTAACTCACTACCCTGCTTATAAACCTCCTATGACTCATCATTGGCTAAAAGATAAAATCCAAATTAGCATTCAAGTACTTTCTCAATCTAGCCCCCAAAGAAAATTCCTAGATTCATTTCTCTTCTTCTGCTACCTATACATTTTTCTATCCTGAACTTTTTACTTTTCTTTGAACATTCCATGATCTTTGATTATTCATGCTACTCCTTCTGCTTGAAATGCCTCCCCACTATTCCCTTCTCTGCTTAGAAAACATCTACTCATCAACTATCACTCCCTTTTGTGTTACTTTCTTCAGGGCTCCCAATGCATACTATAAATATTGCTGTAATAATACCTATCCTATTATACTGTTATTCACCTCTTTGTGGTTTTTTTTTTTAGACAGAGTCTTGCTTTGTTGCCCAGGCTAGAGTGAGTGCCGTGGCGTCAGCCTAGCTCACAGCAACCTCAAACTCCTGGGCTCAAGCAATCCTTCTGCCTCAGCCTCCCGAGTAGCTGGGACTACAGCCATGCGCCACCATGCCCGGCTAATTTTTTTTCTATATATATTAGTTAGCCAATTAATTTCTTTCTATTTATAGTAGAGATGGGGTCTCGCTGTTGCTCAGGCTGGTTTTGAACTCCTGACCTCGAGCAATCCACCCGCCTCGGCCTCCCAGAGAGTGTTATTCACCTCTTTGAATATTTGCCTTGCTTAAACCCTATGAGTCCTTTAAGGGAAGGGATGGTGACTCGCTGTCACTGTATCCCTGAGGTGCTCCTTAGCATCACACAGAGCTTGGCACATAGCAGGGGCTCATAAAGCTAAAGCTATATGAAAAAATAAATTAGATGATAAAATACAGAAACTGCAGAGGCTGGGCGTGGTGGCTCACACCTGTAATCCCAGCACTCAAGGAGGCTGAGGCGGGAGGACAGCATGAGGCCAGGAGTTTGAGACCAGCCTAAGCAAGAGTGGTGCTTAGGAGATAGGAGACCCTGTCTCCACTAAAAATAGAAAAATTAGCTGGACACAGTGGCACATGCCTGTAGTCCTAGCTACTCAGGAGGCTGAGACAATGGGATCACTTGAGCCCAGGACTTTGAGAATGCAGTCAGCTATGACAACACCACTGCACTCTAGCCGGGGTGATAGAGCAAGACTCTGCCTCAAAAAAAAAAAAAAAAAGAAAAGAAAAGAAACAGCAGAAATAGTATACTAGTATTTTATTATCAGAAGCCAGAGAGCCAGTTTTACTAAAAATTCATCCCCATATTGGCACATGTTTGGAAAATGATATTTCTTATATCTGTCAAATATTAAAGCTCTTTCTACCCTGGGTCAAGGCTACTACAATAAACTTGACTAATAAACTCTTATACTATAATGTGTGAAAAATAAAACTGAATTAATATAAATAAAAAAGTTAAAATTGGGTTGCACTTTTCTACTATTATTTTGCCAAGTGCTTTGATGCTATTAAATTTATTTTGC